AGGTTCGTCTGAAGTACGAACGCGAGGTTCGTCTGAAGTACGAACGCGAGGTTCGTCTGAAGTACGAACGCGAGGTTCGTCTGAAGTACGAACGCGAGGTTCGTCTGAAGTACGAACGCGAGGTTCGTCTGAAGTACGAACGCGAGGTTCGTCTGAAGTACGAACGCGAGGTTCGTCTGAAGTACGAACGCGAGGTTCGTCTGAAGTACGAACGCGAGGTTCGTCTGAAGTACGAACGCGAGGTTCGTCTGAAGTACGAACGCGAGGTTCGTCTGAAGTACGAACGCGAGGTTCGTCTGAAGTACGAACGCGAGGTTCGTCTGAAGTACGAACGCGAGGTTCGTCTGAAGTACGAACGCGAGGTTCGTCTGAAGTACGAACGCGAGGTTCGTCTGAAGTACGAACGCGAGGTTCGTCTGAAGTACGAACGCGAGGTTCGTCTGAAGTACGAACGCGAGGTTCGTCTGAAGTACGAACGCGAGGTTCGTCTGAAGTACGAACGCGAGGTTCGTCTGAAGTACGAACGCGAGGTTCGTCTGAAGTACGAACGCGAGGTTCGTCTGAAGTACGAACGCGAGGTTCGTCTGAAGTACGAACGCGAGGTTCGTCTGAAGTACGAACGCGAGGTTCGTCTGAAGTACGAACGCGAGGTTCGTCTGAAGTACGAACGCGAGGTTCGTCTGAAGTACGAACGCGAGGTTCGTCTGAAGTACGAACGCGAGGTTCGTCTGAAGTACGAACGCGAGGTTCGTCTGAAGTACGAACGCGAGGTTCGTCTGAAGTACGAACGCGAGGTTCGTCTGAAGTACGAACGCGAGGTTCGTCTGAAGTACGAACGCGAGGTTCGTCTGAAGTACGAACGCGAGGTTCGTCTGAAGTACGAACGCGAGGTTCGTCTGAAGTACGAACGCGAGGTTCGTCTGAAGTACGAACGCGAGGTTCGTCTGAAGTACGAACGCGAGGTTCGTCTGAAGTACGAACGCGAGGTTCGTCTGAAGTACGAACGCGAGGTTCGTCTGAAGTACGAACGCGAGGTTCGTCTGAAGTACGAACGCGAGGTTCGTCTGAAGTACGAACGCGAGGTTCGTCTGAAGTACGAACGCGAGGTTCGTCTGAAGTACGAACGCGAGGTTCGTCTGAAGTACGAACGCGAGGTTCGTCTGAAGTACGAACGCGAGGTTCGTCTGAAGTACGAACGCGAGGTTCGTCTGAAGTACGAACGCGAGGTTCGTCTGAAGTACGAACGCGAGGTTCGTCTGAAGTACGAACGCGAGGTTCGTCTGAAGTACGAACGCGAGGTTCGTCTGAAGTACGAACGCGAGGTTCGTCTGAAGTACGAACGCGAGGTTCGTCTGAAGTACGAACGCGAGGTTCGTCTGAAGTACGAACGCGAGGTTCGTCTGAAGTACGAACGCGAGGTTCGTCTGAAGTACGAACGCGAGGTTCGTCTGAAGTACGAACGCGAGGTTCGTCTGAAGTACGAACGCGAGGTTCGTCTGAAGTACGAACGCGAGGTTCGTCTGAAGTACGAACGCGAGGTTCGTCTGAAGTACGAACGCGAGGTTCGTCTGAAGTACGAACGCGAGGTTCGTCTGAAGTACGAACGCGAGGTTCGTCTGAAGTACGAACGCGAGGTTCGTCTGAAGTACGAACGCGAGGTTCGTCTGAAGTACGAACGCGAGGTTCGTCTGAAGTACGAACGCGAGGTTCGTCTGAAGTACGAACGCGAGGTTCGTCTGAAGTACGAACGCGAGGTTCGTCTGAAGTACGAACGCGAGGTTCGTCTGAAGTACGAACGCGAGGTTCGTCTGAAGTACGAACGCGAGGTTCGTCTGAAGTACGAACGCGAGGTTCGTCTGAAGTACGAACGCGAGGTTCGTCTGAAGTACGAACGCGAGGTTCGTCTGAAGTACGAACACGAGGCTCGACTGAAGTACGAACGCGAGGTTCGTCTGAAGTACGAACGCGAGGCTCGACTGAAGTACGAACACGAGGTTCGTCTGAAGTACGAACGCGAGGTTCGTCTGAAGTTCGAACGCGAGGCTCGCCTGAAGCACGAACGCGAGGTTCGTCTGAAGACCGAACGCGAGTGAGCTTGACGCTCACCTGAGTTGAACGCGAGGTTCACCTTAGAACGAACGCGAGGTTCGTTAAAATTGAGCTTGACGCTCACCTGAGTTGAACGCGAGGTTCTGAAGAACGAACGCGAGGTTCGTTAAAAAATTGAGCTTGACGCTCACCTGAGTTGAACGTGAGGTTCACCTTGGGAACGAACGCGAGGTTCGTTAAAATTGAGCTTGACGCTCACCTGAGTTGAACGCGAGGTTCACCTTAGAACGAACGCGAGGTTCGTTAAAATTGAGCTTGACGCTCACCTGAGTTGAACGCGAGGTTCACCTTAGAACGAATGCGAAGTTCGTTGAGCGAGAGGCTTACTTGATAACGAACGCGAAGTTCGTTTGAACGCGAAGTTCGGTTAAAATTGAACGAACGCGAGGTTCGTTTGAGGTAACCACCTCCTTAATTTTCGCCATGAACCCTTAGGGTTTCAAATTGAAACCGCCGCCGACAAACCCAAAAAACCTTTGATTTTTCTTTTCAAAACAGATCCAGAATTGGAAAAATCAAAGAAAAATCCAAAAAATTCCCAAAAGTTACTGTTCACCGGCGATTTTTTAGTTACTGTTCATCCGAAAAAAAATACTTTCCTGTTCATCCGAAAAAAAATTTCGTTACTGTTCATCCGAGAACATTACTGTTCATCCGAACCCAAAAATGCTATACAAATAAAAAAAGGGTTATCCCTTGATTGCTTGTAATAGGATTATGATGCCAATGTTAGATCTACATCATAACACTTGAGATCTAAAACCATATAGCCATGATTAATTCAAAGAGATTAACAAGGATCTAAAAGAGCGGAAGCTTATACCTGAATCCATTGCTTGGTCTTGATTTTGGGTTTTGGATCTTCTAACCTTAGGGTTCCTCTAAAATCCGAATTTCTCTCTTAGATGGGGGTGAAGAGAATTAGAGAATGCAACCCTAGGTTAGGGACCATAACCCCTTATTTATAGATGTTGTACTTTTGTAATTTAGCCCCTCAATAAATTACAATTACAACCTGGTATCTGCACATATAACCCCATGACTTATTTAAATACCAAATTAACCCAACTTAATTGATCACTTTAGTGGGTTATCCTGAAAGATAGCAATACACATTGATTAATCATATGTGCCCACAAATAGATTTATTAGATTAAATCCAACAACAATAAGAAATCAATGAAAAAAAATGTGAATTGTGGAATAGATAAAAGAAGAATGAAAATGGTTAGAGGCTGAATAACACTTAAAGACCTCATAGTTTCACTCACTTTGCACTTATATATCCTCACTGTTTTTTGTTTGTGATATTTATATATGCTAAAGTTATTTTAAATTGCCACATTAGAACCCTCTATTATGCAAATATGAAAATTTTCATCCAAATATTCTCATCTCACACTAAAAATGAATTAGCTTGTGTCTGTCATATTGAAATATTTAGATAAAAAATTTCACATTTCCATAAGAGAAAGTATTAACCTACCAACTTTAAACTATTTGGGGTATATAAATGTCATTAAAAATAAGTGAATGTATATAAGTGCAAAGTAAGTGAAACTATAAGATATTTAAGTGCTACTTAGCCCTGATTAAAGTATATATATAATAGACAAGTAAGAAAAAGTGAAGGAAATTTGTAGATTATTTAAAAGAGAGAAAGAAAGAAAGAGTATGTTTAGAAGAGAACGATCAGCTCGGTTACTTTAGGTTGAAATTTTCTCAAACCAAACTAACCAAAATATATTCTAAAATCAAATCAAACAATTCAAAATTCAGTCGATTTGGTCAATGTGATCGGTTCAAACCGATTAGCATTCCTCCTACCTATTGACTTTTGACTTTTGTTTTTGGATTTGGACCTTCTCTACTATGAAAAGTAGTAATGGATAGACCACTACTTTTTTATCAAAATATTATTTTTTTTAGTGAGTGTCTTTGATTTGTCTCTAAATTACAAATTAGAAGCATGTGCAATTCAAAGGAGTATCATAAGCTGTTGGATTTGGAATGAATGTCTATGATCCCACTAGTAAGGAATTTTGCCCAACCCCTTGTTTCGAGGGCTTCATCCAGCTCGTTTAATAAATGTTGGAGAGATCAAGATGATGTAGCGGTGTACATCTGCTTGGCTAGTCAAGTATGAGCTAGTTGGCAGACCGTTCACTAGATAAAGTCAAAACGGATCCAAATCCTTCTTCACTAGATAATTCAAAAAGGCACCACATCCTTCTTACATAGATGGCTTTTGATGTTGAAAACACAACATACAACAAGGCGAAATATGCATATCGTGATAATTAATCGAAATTGATCAAAATTAGAAGAATACCTAGAATGATTTCCAATCTTTCATAGTCCATCTCCCAAGATTTACCTAAAAAATCCATCTTCCAAGATCTCCCTGAAAATTCTAAAGCTTTCTCCAGAGAAAAAGCCTCCAACTGAAATTCACATGTTCTCAATCTTCTATTTTTTCTATTCTATTCTTCTTCTTATCTTTATAAGATTTTCTATATCTTCATAACACTACACATGAACCCTATATATAGGATTAAACTAGCCTTATAGATTTCAATTCCAAACAATTTATAATTGTTCAAAACTCTATCCATAACAATTAGATAGATTAGAATTGTTCAAAAACACTCACTAGTAGAAAATCACGTATCCTAGACGGAATATTCTAGACGGAGATTTTTCCATCTAGTTTGCTATGTCTAGAATATTCCATCTAGGATAAAACATCATAGATGGAATTTTCTGTCTACAATAGCAAAGTAGACGGTTCTTTTATTTTTAACTTTTTTTAAATGGGTCAGCTATCCTAGATGGAAATTTCCGTCTAGGATGTATCTTAGACGAAAATTTTCGTCTAGCATGTATCCTAGATGGAAATTTTCGTCGTCGTGGCCCAGCTCCTCTTCCTCGAGTCGGAGAACCCCTCTAAGCCCCTCTTCCTCTACATCAACCCGCCCGGTGGCGTCGTCACCGCCGGCCTCGCCATCTACGACACCATGTAGTACATCCGCTCCCCCGTCTCTACCCTCTACGTCAGCCAGGCCACCTCCATAGGCTCCCTCCTCCTCGCCGCTGGCGCCCCGGTCAAGCGTCGCTCCCTCCCCAATGCCAGGGTCATGATCTACCAGCCGTCTGGGGGCGCCATTGAGCAGGCAACCAACATCGCCATCCATGCCAAGGAGATACTCAAGGTGAGGGAGAGGCTGAACGCCATCTACGCGAAGCACACAGGGCAGAGCCTAGAGAGGATCGAGAGGTTCATGAAGAGGGACATGTTTATGTCGCCCAATGAGACCAAAGAGTTTGGGATTGTGGACGAGGTCATTGAGCACCGGCTGATTGCGCTGGTTTCGGATGCGGTCGAGGGTGAGGAGAAGGAGATGAAAGGGAAGGGTGAGGGATCGAGCCCGTAGCTGAAACAGAGGTGTTGGATGCTAATCTATCTATATGCAGCAAGAAACAGTTAGCTAAATAATCACTTGTTGTTTGATGTTTATCCTAGCAGTGTTATTTAGTGGGAGTTACATTCGTCTTTTTCTATTTAATTTTAATACAGTATTGATGTCTTGAGGAATTGTGTTCTGTTTGGTTTGGAGTTTATTTTATTGTTTTATTAACTTTGGTTAGTAGCTTCATCATGATAAATGGAAAGCAAGTTCACTGCATTAATACTAGAGCTTTAGAATTAGGCATAGTACACATATAAGAATGATGCTATTTATAACCTACCTATGTGATAAACAAGACAACTCTTATAAATCCACTGATATTCGCATTTTTTATATGTATAATTATTTTCCCTGAAGCCTTAAATGGGTATGCTCTACTTGGATGATCTTAAATAGATTTGGTTAAATGAAAAACTTTGTTTTATATTGTGGTATGTTGAAGTCAGGTATCTAGCAGTGTTTAACTGTTATCATTTACTTTGAAGATATGTTAATTTTATCATCTCTTAAAGGAACTAAAGTTCCATGTGGATTCTCTTTGAAGATATGTTAATTTTATCATCTCTTAAAGGAACTAAAGTTCCATGTGGATTCTTCTTTGGATGGAGCAATCAAGTATATATTTGATTTTTTTTAAAGGAACTAAAGTTCCATGTGGATTCTTCTTTGGATGGAGCAATCAAGTATATATTTGATTTTTTTTTTCCTCTCTTACTTTCTTGATCATACTTTAAAGTGAAACTTCATATCTATCAAATTCTGTAGCTGACTTTGTGAATTGTAGGATCAAGGATAGCTATAGGACATATTAACATGATAAACATCGCCAATTCGTATTTTAACACTTGTTTTGAGTGTGGATCTTTATGTGCATTGTATAATCTGTAGTTGCTTTTGTTTGCATTTTAAAAGGAACATGTTAAGTGTTGTCTATCTAATACTATATTTTTTCGAGGGGAGAGAGCATACTCATGCTCTGATTTCTCAAACACTTCACACTTTATAATAATTGTCTTAATAGGCACATTACCGAAACAAACATAAGCAGTACAATCACCACTTTTAAAGCATTGAAGTTCAGAACATGTGTCAATGTTGCTAAAAGGTCTTATCCTATGAAGCATTGTATCATTTATCATAATATATTAAACAGTTGTGTGATATTGCTACTACAGGAAAGGAGAGAAAGAAAGAATCAGCAAGCTTGTCGATGTTTATTTCATCCTACGTACTTCTCTGAAATGCTAACATTACAAACTTCTTTATGTTACAGATTTTAGGAGCTGCTATTGTGTTTAATAATATAAGAAAGCATCCCGATCAGCTGAAAGACATGCGGTCGCATCGCCAGCCAGACCTACCATCGTTGGGGTTCACGAGTCGGAACGGAATGGTTTCCATGGAACAATATTGAATCATCAATGTAGTAACTATCAGTCTCTTTGTAAAAGCTAATTCTTAGAGTACCTACTTTTTAATGGCTAGAGAGAACCATATTTTTTGTTGTTGCTCATTTTGTAACTTAATGTTTTCGATGTGTTGTATAATGATGGATACATTTTGTTAATAGAGATTATTAGATTAGTTAAAAACTCAATTATATTACTTGCAAAATTGATCCTTTTTTTTTTTTGCTTAATTCTTCAATGCACAAAGTAGATTCCTTTAAAAAACACTGTAGCGTCCGTCTAGGATGATTCCTAGATGAGAATTTTGTCTAGGATACTTCTTATCCTAGACACCTATCCTAGACGGATTTCTGTCTAGGAAGCATCCTAGATGAAATTTTCTTCTTGGAAACTTCCCAAACGGAATTATTTTCAATCTAGGATTTTCGTCTAGGAAGCATTCTAGACGGAATTTTCGTCTAGGATGCTAAATCATCCCAGACAGAAATTTTAACTTGGAAACTTCCCAGACAAAAAAATTTTTCATCTAGGGTTATCCGTCTAGGATGTTTTTCTAGATGGAATTCTGTCTAGAATACTACATCCTAGACGAAAACTTACTAGACGAACATCCTAGACAGAATTTCGTCTGGGATAGTCTTCTTAAACGGAAATATGATTTTCCTAGACGGAATTTTTCATCTAGGATGCCTCATTTTGTACCAGTGACAGACATAATAGAATTTCTATTACATGTGAACATCTTCTAATGCAGTCAAACCCTTATCTGACCAACTGTTCATAAAAGCTCTTGTTAGACCCTAGAGGGGGGGGTGGTGATTAGGGTCTTATGCTAATCTAATCTGATTTAAATACCAATTAAAATTAATTAATGAGTTATCCTAGCAAGTATAAAATACCACAAGATATATGAGCTAGAATAAGCAATATGAACAACAAGATATATCCTGACAAAGAGATATAGGCAATGTATGTGCAAGGATATAAACTAACATAAGGGTAAACAATATGAACTAGATAGTGGATGATATAAATAATGAGCTATGGACAATGGCGACAAGAAATATAAACATAAGATTAAGTGCACCAAAGCAAACTCAAACACACGATATGATCACGGAGTTTGGACCTTCCGTCCTACATCTCCGCTCCCCACTCCCGGGGAGAAATCCACTATCACAACCGGGTTTTCTACGCTCACCCGAATAACGTTTACACCTCACAGTGTCGGTTTTCAACGCTCACCGATCAACGTTCACTCCTCACACTCGGTTTTCTAGTTCATCGAAAACTTCACAACACACTCGGTTTTCTAGCTCACCGAAAACCTTACACCATTCACAATGTAACAAATATAAATTTGTTCTCTACAATAGATGAGAACTCAATTAAGCACAACTCAATGTTACAATCTCTCATAACCCTATTATACTATGTATGCAAGTACAATAAGCTCAAAGTGGGTGTGTGTAACAATGAGTAAATAAAATCAAATCAACTAAACTCAAATATAAAATCTAGCTTAAGAACAACGATAATCAAACAAGTATATAAATGTAAAGCTAGAGTTTGAGTTTAGAAAACTTCTCAATTGATAACAAGAGATGGAGGGAGGATAGTTGGAAGCTCAAACTTCAATAGATAATCTCCTCAAGCTCTTGTGGAATTGATTCACAAAACCGAAACACTCAAATGCTTAACAGCTTCTTAAAACAAACTTAAACAAACACTAAACAAGTTTAAACCCTTGTTAAACTATTTAAAAAACAATCTCTGCAATGTATGGAGAGCTGAAGATAATGGGGTATTTATACTCACTTAAAACTTCAGCATAAACCCCAAGCAAATGACAAAAAAGCCCAAAGCAAACAGCTCAGAAAAATAGCCGTTGGGTTCCAACGGTCATATCGGCGGTCGACCGCGAAGAATAAAAAGGCGAAGAACTGTTCTGAAAAAAAAAAAAAAAAAAAAAAAAAAAAAAAAAAAAAAAAAAAAAAAGCCAATAAAAACTATACTGAGTTCTGAACTCTTGGCGATCGACCGTGGCGGTCGACCGCGAACAGATACTCAGGAAAAATAGGTTTTAAAGCTGATTTTGAGACTTTTGAAAATATGTTAAAAATAACAAATGAAGTACAAAAATAATGAAACTTTGGGAAATGTATATAAACATGTAAATGAACATGTTACAAAAAGAATTTTCCAAATTGCATTTCTCATTTGTAAAAAGTCATCATTTTGCAAAAATAGTCCAAAACACGAAAATGTAAACATGTGGATTTTGACATTTAGGCTAAACCATGTTTTGAAACTTTGCACAATGATTATATAGACTTAATAAAATATGTATATGATTATTGTTAAGTCCAAAAACTAAGAATACAGAATTTTCACAAAATTGCATATTTTATGCAATGTTTTCAAAAACACAATAGTAAATATGAAATATGTGATTTCATATTATAAACATAAAAACCCAAAACCATGCATGTATGTAAATGTATATAACTATATATATGCATAGAAACCAAAACTTATGTATATATATATATATATAACTATATATATATAAAAACCAATAAATGTGTGTATAGATATTGAGCTTAACTTAACGTACTTAACACACATAATATAAAACCTATACTAAGTTACCCAAGCTAGATCTTGATCTTCAATAAGCTCGACTTGGTACACATGCGGATGAAGCTGAACTTGGATCTTGAACTAGAATTGCATAAGCTTCACCGACATTCCGCCAACCTCCATTGGATATGATCGTTGAAGCTCTATTCCATCCATCCTCCAACACGTTGTTTGCCTAGAAAAAATACGAAAACACAAACACTAGACAAACAACATTAGAAGTAAATTATTTGTTAAACATCATCAAAACAAGAAGGCCAACAGCTCTTTCATAATATGGATTAATTATTTATAAATAATATTTTACATTCAGTCTCCCTTGGTATCATTTATTTGAGGTAATTCTTTTGAGTAGGACAATTCACCTATCTGCTCTTGCCTTAATCGTAATTCTTATGAACACAAATAAAAATCATTTTGAAATATTTGATTATTTTATTTTTATAAGAAAACAAATTTTGGAAAATATTTTCTAAAACCACACATTGGTGGGAATTTACTTACTTCATGGGAATGCATAATAAATTAACTCATCATAATGAGCATATTGGAGCTTATCTAGATATCCATCATTTTCCTAAATGAAATCTAGTAACCCAACATTTTTGGTTGTGTAGCACTTGCTAAACAAGTTTAACCATCACATCAAAGCATATTAAATTATCAAATCAGAAATGACAATATCATCAAGTCAAAGGAATCATGTAACGATCTAAATTCTCCATCTCCTAGGTGAAGTGTCCTACAGAATTCAAATACGGTCTAGTGCTACATACATACCAATGTGTGCTTATGACATATACCTAGGGAATCCGCATTCACGGTGATTGAGACTCACCACCACATCTCATATGTCGGTATCATGCATAATAACATATTATAACAAAATTATCATTTATCAGTTATAAGTTA